TGCGTGCGTGTGCGTGCGTGTGTGTGTGTGCGTGTGTGTGCGTGTGTGCGTGTGTGTGCGTGTGTGCGTGTGTGTGCGTGTGTGTGCGTGTGTGTGCGTGTGTGTGCGCGTCTGTGCGCGTCTGTGCGTGTCTGTGCGTGTCTGTGCGTCTGTGCGTGTCTGTGCGTGTCTGGGCGTGTGTGTGTGTGTGTGTGCGTGCGTGTGCGGTCACTCGTTTTTAAAATATGTAAATAGGCCCCTATAACGTGTTGACCCTAAAACAGGTGGAGTGACAACAACAGTTAAGTGCTGTAATCCTGTTTAAAAAATCAAGTTGTGGCGGTATGCTGGGCCAGGTACAGGTAACCTGAGCCTTGAGCTGCTTCTTGTGCACGCAGTAACGAAAGGTCGTAACATTTAGACTACAACAAATTAATAGTTTCATCTCCCACACACCCCTACACGGCCATTCCCTCCAGTGTTGACACTTGCTACTGTTCCCACACAGTCATATCCTGCAGTGTTGACACTTGCTACTGTTCCCACACAGTCATATCCTGCAGTGTTGGCACTTGCTACTGTTCTCACACAGTCATATCCTGCAGTGTTGGCACTTGCTACTGTTCTCACACAGTCATATCCTGCAGTGTTGGCACTTGCTACTGTTCTCACACAGTCATATCCTGCAGTGTTGGCACTTGCTACTGTTCCCACACAGTCATATCCTGCAGTGTTGGCACTTGCTACTGTTCTCACACAGTCATATCCTGCAGTGTTGGCACTTGCTACTGTTCTCACACAGTCATATCCTGCAGTGTTGGCACTTGCTACTGTTCTCACACAGTCATATCCTGCAGTGTTGGCACTTGCTACTGTTCCCACACAGTCATATCCTGCAGTGTTAATAACATAAACATTCACTGAGTATCTGAACCATAATATAAAACATCGAAGCCATTATTTGACTAGGTCTCAATCACAATCTCCCATTTGATCACATTCGTAGCTCAAAACTAAGATACAAAGTTACTCATGTAGTTTATACAAACTGCCAAACCAAATGGGTTTTAATAAAAGTTTCGGGTTTTAACGATAAGTAAAGCAGTCTTTAAAGAAATATATTTTACTGGTTTTATAGATATGGTTCAGCAACGCATCGCCTGGAGGGGTTATTTAAATATAACTAGTATGCAAGCTGGACATAAAATATAAACCTGCGTATATAATCATCATATATTAATGTAATAGATATGAACCTAAATATAATTTTATGATTCACGCAATTATATATACCTTAAAACACGTAATATAAAGATGTGAATAACATAAGTCAATTCTAAGAAATATGATGATAAATCATACGATAAAGCAGTTAGGCTTTACGATAAGATATGGGATACGACCTGAGCTGTCAAAACACGAGTGAAAAGGATACTGTGCAAAACGTGCAGCTTTTCTTGTCTCTACTAACATAAGCCTTTATTACGACAACGTTTCACTCATGTCATTTTTTTATCTATTTGTTCTTGGTCTGAAAGTTCTAAGGTGGAGTCCAAGCTCAGTGTCACAAAACTCTGAAAAAGTTATAACCTCTACAGGATGACAAAAGTTTATTTACAACCCTTCAAGTGGGATGTCCTGATGCTAGTGAAAGATTCTTCATCCAAGGCCCTGGAGATATTCTTCCCTTCGTGGGATCAAACCTAATTATCCACCAATTCCTGGACGGTGTATGACTTGTACGGATTTAGCATACGATATCAGAAAGAGGTTTTAGTCTAAATTTTAACCGAATGAGAATGAGATGGAGATACTTGTAATTTACACAAACAAAAACACCCTGTTTGTGGAAGTGGAGATGGAGGTTGAATTTTTCGGGGTCGTTGACTTACGATCTGTACATTTCCAGAGATATTATAAGACAGAAAAAAATGCTACAAAACGTATCTTTTATTTCACCGGTAAATATTAATCAGAGCTAGTCCGATATATGACAACGAATAGTCTTCACTTTAAGACTTCCAGAGTATCATCACTGTTCCTTGGACGGCTGTATGTTCACCCTCTTACCAGGAAGTATTGCCTTGTCTGGGAATGCAATTAATGGCGAGGTCCTCTTTGTATTTGAGTTAATTGAGATATACATGGTGGCCGCTTATGACCCCGGGCTATTACAATTTAATGACAGGAAAGCGCTCAGCCAGCTTCTGGCCGAGTGTAGGATAGCCGATGGATACACGGATACTACTCATGACTTCAAACGTGATGATGGGCAGGCAATGGATACATGGATCATACAACTGACTTCGAACATGATGGACAAAAGTTGGGTATATGGCCATGTTTCATACTGATGCATCAGTGACAGCAGAACCGCCCTTTGCAAAAGCACACCCAGCATCACTGTGCAGACTTACACGGCTTTTTCAGCTGAAGAGGTCAGGTGACACAGGTTCCTTAGCTGAAGAAGCCGGGTGACACAACTCCTTTAACTCAGGTGAACATCTTAAATGATGCATCCATTGTATATAATACAGGTCAACGATTTTGTAATAGCGTTACCATAGTATTGTCAATATAAAAAGTGCCGATAGAATAAGATAACTTACTGCGTTTCACTTTCTCTCTCTCTCTCTCTCTCACTCACACACATACACACACACACACACACACACACAAAGTTGTGTCTTGGTTTGTAGGGGTCGAATCATACCTCCTGGTCCCGCCTCTCAATTCTTATCTACCAGTTTTACTGACTGCTGACCCGATCATATCTACTCATGAAGGATGTATGAGTGTTTACCTCCCATACTTATCAAGCCCCTTCCACCTCTTTACTACACTGAGATTATAACAAGACTTTCTGACATCCTTTTGGCTCTTCTGTGGCCTCTTGTCCCTTTCTCTGCCTACCCTGTCGGTACCTCTTCTTATTTTGTGTGTATGCATGTGCACACGTACGTCAGACGAACAAAAGACGAGTGATGCAACATTGACTGTGATGATTCTTGTGAACATTAGTGTTGTTGTGTGCGTGAGAGACAGAGAGAGAAGGATGTTGACACCGCAGTGTCCAGCAAGGTGATGGTGTTGTGCTTGCTGAAGTGATAGTGACGTGGTTGTAAAGTGATGCAGTTTTCTGGCCGATGGTGCAAACTGAGGCGGATATAATGGTGGCGGCTGTCGTGGTGGGGGATACAATGGTAATAAATGAAGTGATGGTGCAGGCTTTGGCAGTTATATTTGAAGTGGTTGCCGTGGTGGTTTATGGTTCAAACTGTTTTTTTATTTTAAGGGTAGATATCATGGTGTCGAAATTAGGACCTCAAAAGTTGGTTTGTGGTGAGGTCGGATAGTGCAGACAGCAGATGTAGTGGAGAAGGCAGGTGTTGATGTTGTAGACAGAGGTTGGTGTAGTGTTAGATGAGAAGGGTGTTGGAGATGGTGTAGACAGCAGTTGTAGTATTAGGCGGGTGTTGGGCAAGGAGCTGCACTGGTACCGTTGTTGTCCTCCGGGCTACACCTAGTCCCTGATGCCGCCCACTGACCCGCCCACGGTCCCACTGTTCCCACCACTTGCTATCATGCCACCAGTCCCACCAACTGCTATTCAGCCACCACTTTTTTTCTGCTACCGCTACCACTGATTATTCCAGGTACCACTACTGACTTCCTTCCCAGCTGCCACCCCTCCCCAAAGTAGGTGCCACAGGTGCCACCATTAACTCTCCTAGCTTCCACCCCTCCCCAGCCTAACTATTACTATTCCAGCTGGCATCAACTGATATCCCGGCTGTTACTGCTGGCTATCCTATCTATCACGACTATCTTACCTGCCATCACTGGCTATCTTACCAGCCATGGGGCGTGGCCTGTGCTTAGAAGTGCGGGTGTCCTCCAACTAAATCTAGTTTGACATTTTATAATTAGTGATAATAATCTACAATAAGCATAGCGCACGTACAAAAACGATATAATTATATGACATATGTACGTGAGGTATTCATGGTCAATATTCTCTCACTTTAACCATCCTCAGCAAATCATAACTTCTAAGATTACATATATTCTAGTATGTATATATATGTGTGTATATACATTCTGTTCAAGGTTAATATATAATAATCAACATAACGGGTAAAAAATATTTTACTAGACAGATAACTAGCGCTCACGCATTGAAATCTCCCCCCCCCCCGGGGTGGCACTCGTGATGAGACCAGACAACTTAGGCACTCCTGGCATGATGTATATGACTGGCACTCATTCCCCGGCACTAGTTATACATGGTTGGCAACCCCCTGCCAAGCACCTGCTGTACATGCCGCCCACTCAACTGAGTTTACATCGCGCTCGTTATTAAGTGGTTTATTAGATTTAAAGCCTATCATTTAGGTTATTAGATTTAAAGCCTATCATTTAGGTTATTAGATTTAAAGCCTATCATTTAGGTTACACGTAACCTGTGCATGACCAATCAGGGATACTAATGATCCCTAGACTAGGGATTAAATTACTTTCATCATATATGCACTACCATACACAGCTCTAGGCTTATATAACCTAGTAACTGACGGTAGCCTCAAGAGAATGTATATCGAGTGTGATGCAAGACGTTAATGAGATGAAAAGAGAGGAGATAATGTCTAATGACGACAATATTGCCCCCTGACGTACTGTGGCTGCTGTCTGTCTTACCTCGGGTGAAGCATCATGAAACAGCTTCCGCCCACTCACACCTGATCACTATCTTACTGACTGGTGTCACTCACGTCTGTCCCACCCACCTCAACACTAGCCAGGTACTCTCACTTTCAGCGCTGAAACACGCCCATCTTCGTTTCCAAATTGATATTGTTGAGGAGAAAATATAAGACAGTAAGCAGAGTGTGTGGGTTGATGGCTCAAGGACTTCCTCTGCTAGACAACCTCGCCCAGTCAGGGGACGTGTGCGCCTTCTGTTCTCTACTAAATTAATACTAGCGCCCCATGCACTGTGTAAGAAGGCAAGGGTGACTTACCAGTAGCAGTATCACAGCAGCTGTGGAATCCATGACTGAAACAGAAGATAAATCAGACATCAGACACTTGCTTGTGTGTGAAAGTGAGATCTCTGCTCAGTCCTTAAGCAGAACAACCATCACCTTTGCCACTAAATGAAGAAAATACATGTCTTACCTAGTAAATCCACCGGGGTTTTTGGCCAATAGGTCCTATGAAATTTTAGGACAGCATAAAGCTAATTTTGACACGACACGATTTGATAATCCACTCCAAATCGCTCGTGTTTTACGGAGGTTCACTAAACACACTCTCACTCGTCCGCCATGTTGGATTATCGCCACGGGTTAACATGGCCACCGCCAACACTAGACGAGAGTGAGCGATCAAAGTGAACTGTTTCATGAGATTTCAACAATCGTCAGGCAAAAAAGATCACTTTTCTTTTATTATTTACCATCAGTTAAATGAAATAAGGATGCAGGAAGTTCCTACTGCCATTACTATTTATATACGTAACAAAACTAGGTAGATAAATCCATCGGTAATGTTTTAAAATGTCTTATATATGAGTTAGTTGTGAGCGCAGCTCTTCGCTCACGTGAGAAATCTTCGAAGCTTAGTAACGTAACCAGGTGTGAGGGTTGCCAGTGTTTCACTCCCTCGAGATTTCACTTTCATTTAAATCACTCTTGTAGTTCATTACTACCTCTATATATTGCTACAACAAACATACCATTAGACAGATTTTAATTAATGCATTTCAATACTAATATTTTGCTTGCGTTTAAGTCGTGTATGACGACAAAAAATAATGAAAAGATGCAACCAAATCTCTGGCCTACAAAATAATGTTGATATATATTTTTATGTATAAATTAAGGATTTTTTTTAATTATGTAGATGGTAGGAGCAGCAGAAGAAGGCAACCCCGGCAGTACCTTCCTGTCAGCTGGTATTTTCAGTTTCCTTGACTCAGAGATGTGGGCGCATCAACTTGTGACGTCATCCTCAATAATACCGCACTTCATTTCTCTCATTTATGGGTTAAAATGCCCCTTTTATGTACCCGAATTACCTTCGAAATGTTCCTGTGGGGTTGAAGGGAGGGCGGTAGTTGAGGGATTACGAGGGTGTGGAGCGTGTTGTGAACTGTTTTGTAGGTGGAGAGGGGTAGTGGAGACGGGAGGTGTGGGATATAGAGAGGGGAAGTGGGGGTGTGGGAAGTGAGAGGGGAGGTTTGGGTAGTGGCCAAATGCCCCCACACCTCTCAGCACGTGGGAAGATGACACAAGGCCCATCAAAGGTTAGCTCACACACCCACTCACACCCGCTCACACCCACTGTCACCCACTCATGCCCACTCATACCCACACCCACACACATACACACACACTCACACCCACTCACACACACACACACATACATACACACAAGCACACACACACACACACACACACACACACTCACACACACACAAGCACACAAGCACACACACACACACACACACACACACACACACACACACACACACAACACATACAACAGGCCTAGTGTCTAATCGACATGTGCCTAGGACAAAATATGGTAACTAACAGACACACACACACACACATCATGCACACACACACACACACACACACATAACGCACACACACACACACACACACACATCACACACACACATCACCACACACACACACACACACACACACACACACACACACACACACACACACACACACACACACACACACACACACACACACACACGACTCGACCCCCGCAACCTCAACTAGGTGAGTACAACTAGGTGAGTACACACATACAACAGGCCTAGTGTCTAATCGACATGTGCCTAATACAAAATATGGTAACTAACAGACACACACACAGACACACACACACACACACACACACACACACACACACACACACACACACACACACACACACACACACACACACAGACAACAGGCCTAGTGTCTAATCAACATGTGCCTAGGACAAAATGGTAACTAACACACACACACACATACACACACACACACACACACACACACACACACACACACACACACACACACACACACACACACACACACACACACACACACACTCCCCACACTAATTCTCACATACGTCCTCCCCTAAAACGTCCTCCTCTACACATGTTCTTCCCCACACACTAGCTCCAACACATGTTTTTCCCCACACACTAGCTCCAACACATGCACTCACCCACAACACACGCAGTCCCCTACATTCTCACTCCCCAACACACGTCTCCCACACACACTCCCCAACACACTAGTTCCAACACACGCACTCCCCACACGCACACTTCCACGCTCACGCACTCCCCACGCGCACACTTCCTCAGACACGCACTCCCCACACGCACACTTCCACACACACGCACTCCCCACTCCTGCACCACAGATAAGGCACAAAGTTAGTGGAGAGTTTCTATACACCAGAGCATCTATGTGCCCAGGAATCTCAACAGAATGAAAAGAATAGGGCTAACTGCCCACATATGTTGGATGCACGCGCATGTGTGCATCAGGAGGTGGTCCTGTAGCGAAGATAATGCTGAGTGCACTCGCTTGTGCGCACGAGGAGGCCCAGTAGTAAGGCGTAACATCGTGTGCACTCGCGTGTGCGCGCGAGGAGGCCCAGTAGCAAGGAGTAATATCGTGTGCACTCGCGTGTGCGCGCGAGAAGGCCCAGTAGCAAGGAGTAACATCGTCTGCACTCGCATGTGCGCGCGAGAAGGCCCAGTAGCAAGTAGTAACATCGTGTGCACTCACGTGTGCGCGCGAGAAGGCCCAGTAGCAAGGAGTAACATCGTGTGCACTCGCGTGTGCGCGCGAGAAGGCCCAGTAGCAAGGAGTAACATCGTGTGCACTCGCGTGTGCGCGCGAGAAGGCCCAGTAGCAAGGAGTAACATCGTGTGCACTCGCGTGTGCGCGCGAGAAGGCCCAGTAGCAAGGAGTAACATCGTGTGCACTCGCGTGTGCGCGTGAGAAGGCCCAGTAGCAAGGAGTAACATCGTGTGCACTCGCGTGTGCGCGCGAGAAGGCCCAGTAGCAAGGAATAACATCGTGTGCACTCGTGTGTGCGCGCGAGAAGGCCCAGTAGCAAGGAGTAACATCGTGTGCACTCGCGTGTGCGCGCGAGAAGGCCCAGTAGCAAGGAGTAACATCGTGTGCACTCGCGTGTGGCGCGCGAGAAGGCCCAGTAGCAAGGAGTAACATCGTGTGCACTCGCGTGTGCGCGCGAGAAGGCCCAGTAGCAAGGAGTAACATCGTGTGCACTCGTGTGTGTGCGCGCGAGAAGGCCCAGTAGCAAGTAGTAGCATCGTGTGCACTCGCGTGTGCGCGCGAGAAGGCCCAGTAGCAAGGAGTAACATCGTGTGCACTCGCGTGTGCGCGCGAGAAGGCCCAGTAGCAAGGAGTAACATCGTGTGCACTCGCGTGTGCGCGCGAGAAGGCCCAGTAGCAAGGAGTAACATCGTGTGCACTCGCGTGTGCGCGCGAGAAGGCCCAGTAGCAAGGAGTAACATCGTGTGCACTCGTGTGTGTGCGCGCGAGAAGGCCCAGTAGCAAGGAGTAACATCGTGTGCACTGGCGTGTGCGCGCGAGAAGGTCCAGTAGCAAGGAGTAACATCGTGTGCACTGGCGTGTGCGCGTGAGAAGGCCCAGTAGCAAGGAGTAACATCGTGTGCACTGGCGTGTGCGCGCGAGAAGGCCCAGTAGCAAGGAGTAACGTCCTGTGAACGTTACCGAGCTAGGTAATGCCGTCACACACGTTGGATAACTTAGGGAGGAAGAAGAGGGTAATAGACGTATATTTTGTGCTGCCAAATAGCTTCATGCGTCTGTTAGCGCCAGCGCTACTCCGTAGAACAAGGAAGAGTAACTCTTGCTCCCTCCCACTGACTCTACCCTTGATACTAGCACTTAAGCTACCACTCTACCACTCACACTAACACTTAGGTTACCACTCAACCCCTCACACTAACACTTGAACTACCACTCTACTCCTCACACTTCCACTTTACCTTTTACGCTACTAAGTAGGACTCTTCACATTATCACTTTATCTATTACTCAAAACACCACTTAATCTACCACTCTACCTCTCGTACTTTAATTTACATCACTCAAGAACAGACGAAGATCCGCAAATATGAAGACCTTCCCCCTTGCTATAGCTTCATCCCAATAGGGTCGGAGACCCTTGGAGCATGGGGCAAGTGTGCTCTAAAGTTCCTAATAGAGCTGGGTGAAAAGCTCATCATAGAAACCAAGGACCACAGGGCGACCAGCTTCCTCTTTCAGAGACTCAGTGTTGCAATCCAGAGAGGAAATGCCTGCAGCATTCTTGGCACTCGGTCCACCGCCGGGGAGCTGGACGAAGTATTCGAGATGTAGCTCTGAGTTACCTATGTTGTTTTATTTTCTATCGTATTTTTGTGAATGTTTTGTCAATGTATTTTGTCTTTAAATAAAATATACATAAAATATAGGGGGTGGTAGGAGAAAATTCTCAAACAGCTTCAGGGAGAACCTTGAGTTTTCCCTGAAGCAAGTTTATTCTTTTCTCTGAGGATGAGGGTCCCTATAACAGTTCTAGCGGTGGTACCTCCCTATATTTTATATATATATATATATATATATATATATATATATATATATATATATATATATATATATATATATATATATATATATATATATATATATATATATATATATATATATATATAAGATTGCAGTCAGCAGCAGGAATCGAAACTACTGCTGGGGACGGTCAAGATTCCCAGGCAGCGCTCTAGTCCACTCGGCCACACAAATGCATTTGTGTGGCCGAGTGAGCTAGAGCGCTGCCTGGACATCTTGACCGTCCCCAGCAGTAGTTTCGAATCCTGCTGACTGCGATCTTTCTTTGTATGTACCCGCTTGTTTCTGCGTGGTGCGTTGATATATATATATATATTATATATATATATATATATATATATGTATGTAATATTACACTTATAATTTAAATCACATGTCATAAATCTTAAATTTTAATCATTTGTAACTAGGATCACTTTCTGCAATTCATTTTTTTGGAAAAGCATTGCTCGAAATCTCTCTTTTAAGGGTAAAAGAGGACGTATGAAGTCATTAAGTGGGCTATTAACCTGTGGATCCCTTCCTCTCCTCTTCTTCTCTGGAGTTGAGTCTTCAAGACAGTCCCAGCCAACTGCCTTGACCCCAATATTTCTTTGACACACTTATAGTTGTTGACCACCAGGGGTGCGGGGCATACTACCACACCTGAAGCT